CATAGCACTGCTGCAAATAATGTCCTAAACGCAAACTCACCTTGAAAGGATTGCCCCTTTCTGTGTGGAGACTAACTTAAGTGCCCCGTCGTTGTCTCTGCACTGTTGTGAACACACTGGGGTTCCTTAGATGCCCTTACACTAACATCAGCTACTGTCAGATAAGTGGTAGGGCTCGAAACACAACCTGCAGGTGCAGGTTAGTGCGAGTAAAATTGGAATTGTGCAGGTATGTCCGAGTACCTTGTGCTTCCAGTATGTTAAAGATCTACAACAGCAAATAGACAACTTTCAAAAATTGTTTTTGTTGGGCTGGGAAAAGGAAAGGAAATGAGTGGTGTAGGTGAGATACGTCAGATGTGCATGTTATTACCTTGGGCAAGGTTAATGTCATCTGTGCAGGTAAGCATGTTTCGAGCCCTGTGTGGTATACCTGACCTTAGATGTACACAATTGCCTAAGGGAAGCTATCCTGTAACTCACTACTGCTAGTTGTAAAGACATGATTGCCTCTGAGGATGCTTTCACACCAGCAGGAGAGATATCTCCTGGATAAGGAGAGTGATTGTGGATGTTTTGTCTGGGCCTAACAGAAGAAGATCTGCACTTGAAGTCATTAGGGCTTCTTCTCACAGACACATTTCCCATTGTTTGCAGACTTGGGGGAAATATTTTGAAAGAAGTAGCCAGCAACGACGTAAACATGGCGCACCGCCACATGAGATCAATTTGTAGTTTTTTTCGAAAGCCTCGCTGAAAAATTATACCGTCTCTTAAAGTACTTCAAAAGAATTCTTTTAGAATGCCATCAGCAGTTGAAGGACTATTAGCCAATCAGTCGTAGGTCTTGGTGGTGGAAGGAGTCTCAAAGGGCGTCGGTGGGACATGAACTTGAATCAGGGCACTTGTCGGCAGGCCTGTCTGTTGGCAGGTGGGGTTGGTGTTTCTTTCTACGGCGATGCACACGACTGGGCAGGAGTTTTCAAATAAACAGAGCCGCACTGCCAGGAATGCCACCATCATCCGTCCGCCTGGTGGGAAAGTTCACATCAGGAAGTACACGGATACCGTAATGGTCCTGCGCTCCTCAATGGGAGAAAAGCTTTAAACCGTTGTTGTAAAAGGGTCTTTATTTCACTTGTTTTTGTTTATTGAATGTTAGAGCAAGTGGGTGGCCCCATTCAACTGATGACTTTTTTTAGAAAGGGGCCCAGTCTACAGAAAACGTATAAAACCAACAGTCTTTGATTGAAGTATGCACAAAGAAAGTAAATTGAATTCATAGTAGGTTGTAAACAAAAGCAACAAAAGCACATAACCAAACATGTATTACATGGAAGATAAAAAAGTCAAATGTTCAAATCAAAGTAGTTGTTCACACCACCATGCTAGAAGAGTTGATATTGCATGTCAAAATTTCCAACTGCATCCACTGCTTTCCCTGCCATCCCCTAGCCATTGGCTACTTTTCTTAGCTTTTTTCAGTTTAATACATCTTGAAACAGCCAAAATCTTTATTGTGGCTGCTGCTTTCTAGCCCTTGTTGGGCCGGCACTCAAGCCAATGCGTTGAGTGTTTGAGGAAATCTCTGACTCATTCAGCAAATTAAATCAAGGAAGCAAGGCTCACATTAGTGGATAATTGACGTGGCTGCTTTCCCCCTCTTAAACTGGGTGTTAAAGCACGGATTGTTGACAGTGATCCCAGCCGAGGACGCTTAAGCCCAAGATCGTCACAGTTTTCCCTTTGGGTTCCTAGAATGTGGAATTGCCTGACCTTGGCCTTGCCTTAAACTTCGTTAAGCCCGGGAGCTTCATCAGCACCCTCGCTGTGCTGGGTAGGTCAGTCAGCCCTTGCTTAGTACACATGTAGTGAAGACAGATACTATCTGAATGCAGTGAAGAAAGAGGGTAGTGTGTTATTAGACCTGTAAGACAGGGTGCCTTACCAAGTGACACACCTTTGGCAATTACACGTAGTTGTAGTTCAGTTGAAGTTGAATTTTCTTTTTAAAGTTGCCTCGTCATCACCGTTCTTCTGGTTGAAAGGCTGTGACTTTTCGTTCCTGTTGTGTTGTGGCCAAATGGTGGGGAAGTAAGGCAGACGGTAAGAGAGGGGGCTGTAGACTGTACAAAACCATAGGTGATTGACATCTTGCAGCTAGCTGCCTCCATGGTCGAGGAAAAACTGGCGATAGGCTGCACCTGTCTAGCCTCCTTAGCAGGCTCTGTGACTGGGCCTTTTTTCTCTTATGGCATATTACTTCTATTTGTATTTGACTTGACGAAGTTGGGCTGGCCCAGGAACCAGAGTGCCAATAGAAATGATATGGTGTAAGGAAAAAAGCCCCAATCATAGAGCCTGCATGGAGGTCTGGAGGTGCCTGTGGTCTGGAGAAGCCCCGTAGAAGCTCTACAAGTGAAGACTCATAGTCCTTTCCAACTCTGACACACGGCCATGCTGTTCCCATCGACGAGGGACAGTGGCGAACCGTGTCACCCTCTCTGAAGCAAGAATTTTAATGTTTCGCCCTGCCAGCGGGGTGCCAAGTCGTGCCCGGCACGTTTTCGCCCCGAAAAGCCTGCGGCTGTCACAGGTACCACCAACGGGGAGGCCTTTTGTTTTTCCCCACTGATCTATCAACACCAAGTTTCAAACTCCTGTTAAGTGGCCATGCCGGTGACCCATGCTTTGCCTCCCGTGTTTCATAAACTTGGATGTTGCCCTTCTCGCTTGTTTGGCGCACAAGGAGTCCCAGATGCGGCCTTGCTCCGTGTTGGAAAAAAAAGAAAACGGCTGAGGTTAGCTCCTTGTTGTCCTCAGGGGAATCCCAAGGACCAAAAATATGTGGGTACGATTTCCCCGGGAAACATGGGGACAAAGGGAATGGAGAAAGCCAGACTTGTTTCCACAACCGATTCCATGTCTTCAATACAAACACAGCTTTGTAGTGTTGTAAAGTCGCTGTTTTCTTAATGGGGGGGGGGGAGATGTGTAATGAATGTGCCAATATGTGCCAGGCTTTCGTAAGTCTCATGTCTTGAATATCATAAAACAAACTTTTAAGGTGATGAAAGAAATTGACAAGCAAAACAATGTCTTAAATTCTTTAACGACCAGAGAAAGTAGATTATAGTGAAGGGTGTTTTCCCATAACAAGGGGCATGTCTAAAAATAGTAAAATGCATATTATTATTCTGTATGGATAAAATATGTATAAGTGAACTGCATCCTTGCATTTGTTGACAAGTTGCACGTCTTAACATTAATTTTTGTCCCTTACTTGATGTGTACTCCACCTCGCGATAGGTTAGGTGGTTGACCTCAACTGATAGGTTAGGTGGTTGACCTCTTGGGTTCCGACTGCACAGTTTCCATCTCTGATCTCAGGAAATGTAACAGAGCCTGCAAGACACACCTCTTCCTCTCCACTCTGACATTGTTTTGCCCTTGCTGGTTCCTGGGGTCAGCAAGCACTGAGTAAGATCAAACCTGACTCAAGTCTCGGCACCAAGATTCTTGAAGAAAGGGAACGAATATCCTTCCAAATGAGCATTTGTCAGGATAGGATTGCCTCAAGCGCTGATTTCTAGATCTGGCAAAAGTCTAAAAACAACACTGCGCTACCTCCAAGGACTTCATGATCAAAGCACTTCAACTCCAGTGGGTGATCTACTGTTGACAGACATAAAAATTGAGCTATGTGTGGTACAGGCCTCTTTCCATTGTCCTAACCCTTTCCCTAGCTATCACAGGTGCTCAGTATTACATCCTTGTCCACCCATCCTTGTATGTTTTACAGAACATGGTTAGGAAGCATGATTGTAATTGGGTTGTGGGAAAAGAAGAAGAAGAAAGATATTTGGACTAGAAACTGTTTGGATAGAAGAAAGTGTCTTCAAAGTCCATGTATTCCATTTCCTTGTAGCTTTTCTTTGAAGAGCCATCAGCCTGAGGACAGACCATGTCGATCTCTTCTGAGAAATGTCTTCTGAGAAATCGGCTGGAATTGGGACTTAGAATCCAGGTTCCGTCACTGTGGAATTAAAAAGAAAACAAACTATTCCTGTTTTTGATTGAAGGGGCGGCAACACCAGGTCCCCCTACAGGAAGTGTAATAGTAGCATACCTGTCAAGAGTAAGAAATCTT